AAGAAGACGAAGTCTCTGTTACAATGACAGTATTGACAGTTGGCAATTTGATTGAAAAACCTAGGCGTAGATGGGTCAAAGATACTAAAATTGATCCTAAATAAATCGTATCAGAGGGTGTGGACTAGATTAATTTAGCTTAGTATAAGGTTCAGTTGGTGAGCGAACCTTGGGTTCCATAAAAGGTGGGTAATTTCTTGACTAGCTTAGTAAATATTAGCTTCTCAAGGAGTTATTTGGTTATCCTTATATAACGTACAAACCAGTTTTTTCGAAACTTAGTTTATACGTAGGTAAGTCAATAAGTAAGTTACAAATGGTTATAGAACTTAAACAAATAAGAGTACTGATTTGAAAAATGCTTTTATTTCTCAACACAATCTCCCTGTACAATGAGGCACTTGTCCCATCGTTTGACAGGCCCCTGAAAACCAGCAGCATAAAATTCTTTGGGTTGCTGTCGGAACCATGCGGTGACTTCCCTTTCTACAGCTTCATCGTCAGGAAAATGTGCAGCCGAAAGATGATGTTTAAGTGGGCGAACAGATGGAAGTCGCTTGGAGCAAGGATGCTCGAGAACTTGCCACGTGGAATTTCGCAGCGTCTAATTTGTCCTGTTGGCAGTATGGGGACGCGCGTTGTCATGCAAGAGCAACACGCCTTTGGTGAGGAGTCCTTTCGTAAGGCCATTCAATGGAAGCGACCAGGACTTCTCACAAAAGGCGTGTTGCTTTTGCAGCAAGACAAATTAGATGCTGCGAAATTTCACGTGTGAAGTTCTCGAGCATCCTCCGTATAGCCCCAACCTTGCTCCAAGCGACTTCCATTTCTTCGGCCCTCTAAAACAGTGTTCCGCAACCTTTTTCTACTCGCGGCAAACCATGCGGTATCCATGACTCAACACGGCAAACCAAAATGTTATTCCCCTCAAAAGGGCTTGATATCAGACAATTAATATAAATACGTAAGGCGATCAACTTATTACTATAATATTATTATATTGTTATTTTATTATCATTAAACAGAAGTCGACTCGTGCATTTATTAACAATTAATGAACTTTAATTCACTGTAGAGTGTAGAAAATACACTCCTATTAATATTAAAGTAAATACAGTAATTCTACTCATACCTTAAATGTAATACTTGTGCCTGCGTAGCTGCACACAGGCGACTGATCCGTGGTGGAATCGTTGACAACGCAAGTCTCATTTCTTCATCGATGGATTTGAGCCGCTCCCTCTTTGATGTCTTAATTTCAGTTAACGTCGAGAAGCCCAGTTCACACAAATATGTAGTTGAAAATGGCAATAACACATTAACTGCCATCTCGAAGATAGCCGGGTATCCACTCCTTATTGCCAACCAAAACGTATCCAAAGGCACTTCGAGAAGTTTTAGTTTCAATGTTCTGTCTGCTTTTAAATCTGCGACTTCCTCTTGTATATTAATCGGAAGATGTTCTGAATTCACAACAAATGGATCATGAACTCAGTCGAAATCTTGTATAATCTCTCCAAAATACTTACTGAATTTCTGCTGCAGCACTTCTAAATGTTCTTTAATTGTGTACATCACCATTTTATTGCCGTCAGCAAGTGGCCATACAGTCGGGGACATCTCAAACGACCCATCTGTAATTCTCTTGCTAGCAACCAAAATTTGCGAACTACTTCAGAGCACAGATGTGATAGAACTGAAACAAT